TGGTACCCGAGCAGTGGGAATCGAATCCTTCGAAAACTAGCTGCCATCTTCAAGGGACCGGAGATTTATGATTGCCTCCTAGGCATCGGGGGCACGCTACATCCCTGTTTCTGGTGAGGTGCCAGCTCTGGACCCCATCCGGCTCTCGCAGGCCTGGGATGATCTCTTTGAAAAACAATGACACCCGAAACCCTAAAATCCTAAAAGGCCTAAACCTGAAAGCTGAACTGCGTTGAGGGTCTGAATCCATGTTGCTCCTAGCTGCAAAACTCGAACTTCCCAAAAACCCTGCGGCCTGGAGGTTTCTGTTTTTGCGTCTTCCAAGGGTTAAATGGGCCAGTTGAGGGAGCCAGACTTGGAGCTTGGTCTTCGACTGAAAAGATAGTGCAATGAGGGGAGAAGCCGAGAAGCCCAAGCCATTCCTGCAAGATCCGAGCCGCACACCCGACATCCCTCCTGCGCCCAACTGATTTCGGAACAGCTCTTGAGTTCGGAAATCCTCTCCTGCCATCCCACCCCGAAGCATGCATACCCAAGGATTGACACCCGAAGCTGTTGCCACAGGATTGTGCGTTGTGGGGAGGGGGTAATTATTAGGGCTTTACCCAAACCCGGTCGCCGGTCTCCCGGACCACCAAACATTATGAACCCGGAAATGGTTCTTCTGCCGGTATAGGGTGCATGAACAAAAGACGCGCAACTGCCAGTGACAGTTCTAACACCCGCATAAAAAAGACAGTTGTCGACATAAAGCCCCAGAGCTCTCAACCCTGTAAGAGAACGCGCCCGAAAGACTTTAAACCGTGAAGCCACTCCCCGAAGCCGTCAGCTTGTAACTTCCGGACAGGCCGAGCTGTCGCCGGATTGGCGAATGGAGGCTGCTGGATTCGGGGTGGAGGGCCGTAGGCCTTCAAGGCCGCAGGTCTTCAGGGGAACAGCCGCTTTCGCGTTTCTGACTTGGGGCCTTTCAGCGGGCTTGTAAGATATGACGTTGAGCTCTTTCGACCTCGCGGCGTGCATTTTGACAGGTGCATCGAATTAGAGATATACTGGAGCCTGCCGAGTCGACTGATTTTCAATTTTGCTGGAGGAATCAAGTTCGGTTGTGCTTGGAGCAGGATTGAAAAAAAAAAGCCTTTTTGTTGTCGTGGCCGATTGTTGTCGTAGCAGTGTCGTGTTTGTTGCTGTCGTGCCAGCTGCAATTGTTTTGCATTGTCGTCGCGGGGGGGAGGCTAGGAGGAAGTCGAAGCGCGCCCTGCGAGAGTTCCAATGCCAGCTGAGGAAGGAGGGCCTCTGCCTGAATCACATATCCGCGGCCCTTGGGGCTCAGAGATCCAGCCATACTTCGCGAAAGATCCGACTGACATCCAGAAATGGCACGAAATTGCGACGCCCCAAACCCTTGATCCTCAGCCAGTCTGGACCACTTATTGGCCTAACTTTAAGTCAATTTCGCCAACCATCCGAGCCTAAACCTCGCCACTGTTAAGGTCAGGGTTTCGGAGCTGGTTATTTGGGGCCTTGGAGTCGCAGGGTCGTTCACGGAATCCGCAAAGCCGTCGACCTCTTGACAGCGGACAGAAGCAGGTGGAGGGCCACATGGTGGAGGCTTAGGCGGTGGCCGGCCCAGAGTGACAGCGCTTCGAAGTACAACAACAGCTTCAGATTTGGGACTGTGGGTCCTTTGTTTTCGGGTCGGTATTTCAGCCGCTAGTCTTGCCGGTCAGATGTTGGGGTAGCAGGTAGCATAGATGTCTCGCCTGCTAAGTTCTTCGGGTAAAGACTGAATAGACTTCTCAGCTGCTGGATGTCGTGTGGGGTAAAACATGAACCGAAGCAGCCGTAGCACAGTCTCTTGCCGAAGCCGTTTGACATCTGACATGGGGAGTGTGAATGCAATCCCCACGTCCAAGCACCACAGCACTCATTACTTAGTGTAAATCCAGAGCCCTGAACCCCATCAGGAATCCATGCAAAGTCCTGTCGCTTTTGCATTTCCGAGCGGGTGTAGATCGGATCTTATAGAGTTGTGACCATCACATACCTATGAGAGTACATACGGCTCTTCAGCAGAAACAACATGAGTAAGCCCTACAGTCCCCTGCACTTCCCTACACCAAGACAGAGACCATGACTCCGCAGCCTGCCACTTTGGAGCTACAGCCCTATCCCAACGCCCAATTTCGAGACCCCTAACTCCAAGCACCGAACTTGAACCACTGCCATCAAAACGCCCGGAGCATGAAGCCACCGCCGCCCATCGCACTGGGACCACGACGACTGCTCCGACGGCCGCTACCGCCAGGTGTCCGGAAGCGTACCGTTTCAGGGGTTGGAGGTCTCGGGTTTAAGGATTCTCGTGGTTTGGGGCTTTGAGTGCAATGAGATGCTGACATCTTCGGATACGGGGTTTGGGGGCAGCTCTAGTCAGGGGATTGAGGTACGTCAAGTAGTATTAGTGGAAAATACAATCCTAGAGCCCATAGCTCAACAAAGGCAAGGTGGGTCCTGCAGAGTCTGGTTCAGGTTTTGGGTTAGGGCTTGTCAACCTCCGAAGCTCATCGACTTCGAAGATGTTCCGGCCACGTTAGATTCCATAGCAGATGACAGATGCATACATTGACCCAGGGAAGAGCAAGCGGCAAAAATAGACTGTCAGCAACCCGCGAATGTTCATTGAGAGTTAGGGATTCAGCAGGAATGTTTGAATTCAGAAATCATCATTGAAGAACTACTGGACAAAGTGTTTTGTGAAGTGATACTGTCCATAGGAAGACAGTCAGAGTGGAGTAGGACCAGATGCTTCGCATTCCAAACGTAGGCGGGACTGAGAGTTGGACGTATTGAACGGTTTTCCATTCATTGGCAACACTACTAATATCAGTGACGATGCTGATGGATAAAGATAAACACCTTACGAAGCAATCTGACGCCACTGATGTCTTCAAGCTTGCTTATGCCGGTGGTCAAATCAAAATGCAAGTAGTCTTTACGCCTATAATGTGAAGGACACATAACAACAGCTATGTTAGAATATAAATAAGAGTAAAGCTAGGAGTTGGTACACATGCAGGCATGCATGAATGCAGTTTATGGATCAACTTCAGCGTTTAGCAGACGTGCTACCTTTTCAAAACAATCGTCTAGTTGATACTAATGCTGGATTATTGCAAAGAGCAGACGCCGGTAGTTCATTGACTCCAATTCCAACAGCTGAAACGAGTTGTGCGTTACAACCAGATACAATAGCAGATCCTAGAGTAGGACGACACCAATACAATTGCAAGGTACCAGCAGAATTAGGTGAAGCAGATGCTGTTCGTTGGCGGCCGTTGCAATCCAATAGCGAGTTCAGGGAAGTGTTCGATACACAATATACCTATACACTGTTTAGCGAGTAGGGGTAAACTTCGAGGCAGCTTGACACCTTTCCTACGAGGTACTTTTGTCCATCGGAGCCGAACTTTCTTATGAAGATGCATTGACTCCTTCATGTTCGCGAGTCTGAATAGAAACAGAGCAGATGCGCTGTATCCAATAACTTCTGCTAGTACATTTTGCTGAGTTGGTACAGTTCATGAAACGGTATTGTGACGAAATGTCGTGCACAAACCCATGTAGTAGACTTGAGTATCTTACAAATTTTGGAACGTCGATAAACTCGTCCACAATCCGAGCTTCTAAATCGCAGGGGGGCCCCCTCCCCCGCAGAACAAGGGTCAATAATGGATCATCTCTGTTGGCTCAGCCTGGCTCCTTGGGCTCTAGTAAAAAATAACAATGTAATGAATCTCCAGCCGGGCCAGGCCCGGAAGCGTGCCATAAACGTGGTCCTTTTTATAAATCTGGTTCGGGCTGCTGCCCGGCAGGCCCCGTAAGGGGTAGCTTAGGAAGGAATGAAAATCTGTTGGCTTTTTATCAGGCCTTTAACAGGAAAACCTAGCTTTCTGAAGGGCCTCAGCTTTGGGAAAAAGCTTGGCTGCGGAAGGCAGCCTCTGCCTGTGCCGAGAGGCAATGTTATCTGTATCCTGTCCGCAGGTTCCAAGGCCATGGGACCAGGAAAGGCCGGTGACCCACCCAGCATCCACAGCATGCGGGTGCGACCGACACCTCTGCTCGTGCAGTGTACAGTACCAGAGTGCTGTACGGCAATGCCTGCTTCGGAAAGTAGCCTTGCTGCTTTATTAAAGCAGCAAACAATCAAAAAGCAAAGACTGCAAGAGCCGCCGCGCCCGGCCCGGAGGCTTGCTAAAAATATGGTCCGTTGTATAAATCTGGTTCGGGCTGCTGCCCGGCAGGCCCTTACGGGTAGCTTAGGAAGGAATGAATAGTTGTTGGCTCTTATCAGGCCTTTAACAGGAAAACCCAGCTTTCTGAAGGGCCTCAGCTTTGGGGAAAAGCTTGGCTGCGGAAGGCAGCCTCTGCCTGTGCCGAAAGGCAAGGCCTGCTTTGGAAAGTAGCTTTGCTTCTTTGTTATAAAGCAGCAAGCACATGCTCGGATTAGCGGAATGCCTAACAGATCTTTTGTTTGTTATTCTTCTTGTGCAAGCCGGTGGCTTTGTGCTGTGTCTCTGTCATCTTGTTCAGTGCCACTGGAGTCTCTGCTGCACTATCAAGTAATTTCTTGTGCGTCTACTTTACTATATCGTTTGTTTGTATCTTGATAGCGGGTGCCCGGTGGTTTGCTGCCGGTGGGTGTGCTCGTGTGGATTTACTAGTGGCGTAAAATGCCTTTTTTCCGTGTTTGCCCCCCCACCCCCCCCCAGCTTGGTACCATTGCGAGGAAAGGCAGGAGGAAGAGCTTTGGGTCCGAGAAGCGAGCTCTCTTGCCAAGTGAGCAAGTTCAAGCCAGACCCGTTTGGGGTACTACTTCTGGGGCGGGCTCGTGGACTCTCGGTTGGCGCAGTGCAGCTCGGATTGAACGGCCGCCCGGTTTGTCGAACGTTGCTGGAAGTATAATGACGTGAGCGAAAGGACTGACATCGCGGCAGGGAGCACAAATGCAACGGAAAATGGTGCAGGACTGGCTTGCGGTAAAAGGTGGGTCCGAAGAGATGTTACGTGGTGTGATGCTCATTGTGCCCACGACTCAGAAGACCAATCTTGGACCATCCTCCATGCACGCCTCCAATGCCAAAAGAGTTCGCAGCTGCAGCTGTAGCCCGGGTATAGACCAGCGTGGAGGCAGGCCGCCCCCAACGCCGCCTTGCCTTCCCGCGTCGGGCGGCAGCCGGAGGTCGAAACCTTCAGACCTGTCACCTTTCGTCGAGACGTCTTCCTACACAATGCCGCAAGCCACCCCGACGCCCTCAAACTTTTGGGGTGGTTGCCAATTACCACCCGCACCCGAACCTAAGTATGAAGCCACAGCATTAGCCTTTGCTTGCTTGCCAAGATTAGTAGTAGACACAAGTCTCTGAGGACATGTAGTAATTGTGCGTTGAAAGCTTGAGTTTGGGATTTATGTCTGCGGGGTTTCAACATCCGCTTTGGAGATCTGCCAGCCAACTCGCCCCTGTGTCAGGATGGCGAGGGATACTCCATCATTATTGCTGTACCCCATGTCGAGATGATTACAACTGCTGACCTACATTCCCTCGTTGGTATAGTGTTGCAGAACGCAGTCGTGTACTCTCAAAACAGGCATGTTCGTATCGTTGATGTTCGTGTTACCATCATCTTTATCATGATAACCAAGAAGCCCAGCTTGTCAAAATGTCGACCTCATAACCCAGGCCTCCTTGAGCCACGACCTTTAGCCATGAAATGTAATTAACTGTACACCCTCGCCTCAGGCTTCCTGCCGATCTGCACAAATCACAAAGTGTCCCTGATGCGTCAAGCTCCCCGGCTTAGGTTCAGTGGTTTCCGGATTCAGGAATCAGAAGCCCTTCGGACTCCAACAGGGGATCAGCGGCGGGCCATGGGTATTTTCGGAAGCTTTTTTATCTCTGAAACTCCGCTCTATCCCTCAATCCGATGAAGCCTGCTGAGCCCAACCTTCAACCGCACAACCTATGAAGTCTAAACCCATCAAGGCCCATCCGACGTCTCTTCCTTCTAAAGCCAGTTACTTCAAGCCATGATGCCAAGAGCTGTTATCTAATCTCCAAACCCCAAACCCTGAACCCAACTTTGAGTGCCGACTTGCATGGGTGCAGGGTGCGCTTCTTCGGTGTTTAGTACGAAGGCGTTTGAGGCCGTAAACAAGAGGTTGACAGAAAAAATGTGACCCTAAGACTTACAGGCACCGCTAGGGCATGACCCTGCAGAGTGCTCGTATCATTATGTTTCTGAGGGGAGGGAGGTGGGATTGAGGTTCGATGCTGGGCCTTGCCTGCGGCCTCTTGGTGCGTGGCGTTGTTCTCAACCAGGAAAAGTTTTCTGTACTCGGTCCTGGCCAAAGATTGTTTTTGGGTGTGATTTAGAGAACAGGTGTTCCTGAGAACGACCGGTCTGGGCTCTGAGGCTTCCGGGCTGCAATAACGGCCCATGGCCGAGAACGCCGATGGACAGAGGCGTAAGGGGAGATTTCGTGCTCAGGGTATAGCTTCAAGCGTTAAGTTTGGTTTATTTGCACAGCGGCAGCAATCGTGACAGCTACGAAGAATGCTGCTAGCTGCCGCGGTGGTGGCTGCCCTCACGACGACTAGGGCAGCGATCCGCGACTGCTGCCTGCGCCGCCGCTACTTCTCATCCTCCGCCGCCTGCTGGTACAGTACTACTGACACCGCCAGCAACACGACCACGAACACGACCATTGACACTGCCACTCCTACTACTACTACTACTACTACTATTACCACTACTACTGGCTACTAGCTACTAGCTACTAACTACTAACTATTAACTACTAACTACTAACTGCTACCTACTAGCTACTACCTAATACCTACTAACTACTACTACCACCACCACCACCACCACGACTACTACTACTACTACTGGCTACTGGCTACTAACTACTAACTACTAACTACAAACTACTAACCACGAACTACCAACTACGAACTACAAACTACGAATTACTAACTACTAACTACTAACTACTAACTACTAACTACTAACTACTAACTACTAACTACTAACTACTAACTACTACCTACTACCTACTACCTACTACCTACTAACTACTAACTACTAACTACTACAACAACAACTACTACTACTACTACTACAACTACTACTACAACTACTACTACTACTACTACTACTACT